CCGTCTGCGCCGCGGGTGAGCCCGGGCCGCCCGCTCCTCGGGGCTCAGTCCCGCGCCTGCTTCCCGCCCGGGCGGTGAAGGTCGCCGGTTGGGGCCTGAAATCCTAACTGCCGGCCACGTGTGGGACACGCCGGCCTCACCCCCCAAAGCTGGCCTTTGACAACCCGGGCTGTGACCTCTGTTCCGGACGCTCGCAGCGCGGGGAGGGAAGGAGACGGGGAGTCCAGCGACCGCTCCCTCGCTTCCCACTCCGCGCACAGTAGGGGCCCCAATCGCGGTGCCGCGGAGCCCAAGGCCCAGCCCGACGCAGGTGGCCCCGCGGCACGCGCTCTACAGCTGTTCCCAGAGCACAGGGGCGCTACGCGGTCCCTGCAGACCCGCACCTCGTGCTCACCTAGGCGCGCCACCGCCTCCCCGTGGTCCCCGCCCCCTCGGCGGCTGTGGGTGGGGGGGCTGCGGTGTTTGGGTGCGTGTGTGTTTGTGCCCAGAGGGGAGGTCTGCGCCCGGGACTCAGCTCAGCTCCACCCCCTGACCCCTCCCTCCCGGCCTGGCTGGGGCTCCCGGTGGCCTTGACACTGCCCGAGACCTACAAACAGATCCCGGGCACGCATCAGGGGCCTGCAACGGCGCCCTCGAGTTCAGACGGCCTCAGTTGGGCTTCTGGGCTCCGCCAGCTCGTGGGGCCCAGTCCGCGGGCTCCCCAGCGTCTTCTCTGTCTCTTCGCACAGTAGGGGCCTCACCTCCCTCTCGCAGACCCTCGCTCCTCGCGGAGCCGCCCTGCAGCCGGCCCGGACCGACTGACTCAGGAAACTCAAAGATCAGCCTGAGAACATCCCGGAGACGTCCGAGTCCTAGGATGTTGGGGTCCTCAGTCCCCCGTCCCGCCCCACACGCAATCCCGGGGGTCGCAAAGGCTCGGCCCCTCGGGCCAGAAAGCCTTCCCGGGCACCTGCGGAAACTTTCATCGCTTCTCGGGGTCCTGGAGCCCTGCTGGCAGAGAGCAGCCACTGGGATAGGGGTCTCCACCCTCCTGCCGCCCGCCTGCACCATGGAGACCCTGCAGAAGCAGTGGCTGGAAGCAGTGTGTGCCCACGTACACGGGTTCATTTTCCTTTTCGTGGGTGAGAGAAGTGGGAGACGCATGGGTGCCTGGGGTCAGCAGGGGGAGAAAGGACTGGGGGGAGAAAGGCCGGAGCACCACTTACCTGGATGCCCAAGGGCAGAGGGAGAGAGGGCTGACTGGGGCTGGGAGGTGGCTGGAGAATAGGATCTGTGAGGGCCCAGAGGAGCCCCCGTGTGAAATGACTGAGTTTGTTTTTCTTTCTCACCTTTCACATAGGCCTTTTCTCATTCCTTCTTGACCTCTCCCTTCTCTCCACACCCCTCTGGTCATTGTCTGTTCTCTGCTTGGCATGGCTCTTCCCAGATTGGGACAAACCCAGACAAGGTGGGTGTTGGAAAGGGGCCCATGTAGTGAGCCATGGCAGCTGGGTGCCTCCAAGGCCTTTTCCACCCTTGTCTCTCTACCCTAAGGTGACTGTTTACCCTCCAGAGAGACTCTGCCTCCTTTCTCTTCCCCCCCTCCCCGCCCTCCCCCATTTACCTCTCCTTGTGCTGGAGCCTGAGCTGCAGCTGCCTAAGCTAAGGCGATGGGGCAGGGGGTGGAGTGGTGTTCAAGAGTGGGCACCCTGTGCCCTTGACCTCATCCTAGGACCTTAAACTCTGAAGTCTGTTAGGGTGGGGGCAACATTTGAGCCGATGTCCTGACTTATATGCCTTTTTTTCCTCATCTTGCTCAACACCCCAAAGCTGGTGAAAACAGCAGAGCTGCCCCCTGACCGGAACTATGTGTTCGGTTCTCACCCACATGGGATCATGGGCATTGGAACCTTCTGTAATTTCTCCACCAAGAGCACCAGCTTCTCCCAGCAGTTCCCTGGGCCCTCAGTAATCACACTGGATGGACTCTTCCACCTCCCAGTCTATCGAGACTACTTCATGTCCACAGGTGAGCCTCCAGCTGAGTGGGAAAGGTGCTCTCTGGCCAGGTGACCTCCACTCACCTAGCTCAGGGACCTGGCCTAAAAACTGGCCAGGCTCATAGTGGGCATCAGTGAAGAGCTTTGGAGCAAGTGTCCTATGGTGTCCTTGCTGGAACAGACACTATAGGGTACAGAGACATGGGCATGGGGGGGGAGGGTTGGAAGGAATGAGATATGGGGCTTACCCTTTAGATACTAAAGGGTAGGATGAGGGGCTGGGAGCCAAGGAGGGGGTGGTGACTGCTCCTCACTTCCTCATGCCTGTAGGGCTGTGTTCTGTGAAGCACCAGAGCCTGGACTTTATTCTGTCGCAGCCCCAGCTTGGGAAGGCCATTGTCATCGTGGTTGGGGGTGCCCAAGAATCCTTGTATGCACTCCCAGGGGAGCATCACCTCATTCTCAAGAATCACAAAGGCTTTACACGCTTGGTGTTGAGGCATGGGTGAGTGGGGTGCTAGTGCCCAGTCGGAGGCAGCTCTTAATGGTCAGAACTTCACAGTGCACCCGCTGGTGCACACTCTCCGTCCCTACACACCCGGATCCCTGTAGGTGGTTCTGGGCCCAGAATCCACACTGGGTCCTATACCTGGAAGGCACTCACATCAGTACTTGAGTGTTTACTCTGTGCCAAGCACTGTGTCCACCTTCCAGGCTTCCTTTCACTCCAAGAGAGTCAGGGTCATAGTGCAAATAGCAGGGTTCGAACCCTTCTCTGACACTATTTCAAAAGCAAGACCTAGGCATGTTTCTTTACCTGTGAAAGGGTTAATACCTGCCTTGCGATGACTTGGTTGTAAAGACTAGATGAGGAAATGTATACTTGAAGATTCAGTACACAATCATTTCTCATGAAATATGAGAACTTTCTTCCAGATTTTTCTTTGTAGCCATTGTCATTTGCTTTAAAAGCCTTGGGAAGTGGAATTATGTGGTGTGAGGAGAGTGATGCTGTTCTCTGGGGCTTCCATCTTGGGGTACTCCAAGAGCCGCTGGCCTGACCACCCCTCTTCTCTTGCTTCTCCTTCCCATGGCCTCCCTGGTGCCTGTGTACTCCTTTGGGGAGAATGATATCTACAGACATAAGGTTTTTGCCACAGACTCCTGGCAGTATCTGTGGCAGACCATCATCAAGAAACTCCTGGGCTTTGCTCCTTGCATCTTCTGGGGCCGCAGTCTCTTCTCGGCCAATTCCTGGGTCCTGCTGCCCTTCCCTGTGCCCATCACCACTGTGGGTGAGTCTTCACCTCCAGGGAAGAAAGCTGCCATCAGCTGTGTGGGCAGCAGAGGCCTCTCCTCGCCTGTCTTTCCTCTTCCTACAGTGGGCCACCCCGTCCTGGTGCCCCAGTGCCTCCACCCTACCAACGAGGAAGTTGACCCCTACCACACGCTCTACATGAAGGCTCTGGAACAACTGAGGAGCACAAGAAAGCTGTGATGTTCCTGCTTCTACTCACCTCATCATCACATAGCCTTGGCCTTGCCCTGCCACCCACCTCCCAAGCTGCTAATCCCAGTGCACTGAGACCCCGGCCCCCACTGCCGTGTCTAGTCCTCCAATAAAAGCTAGTTCTCTCCAACCACTACTTTGTAGAATCAGATGTCTGCAGTGCTGAGGCTCTGGCTCTGGGAGTTACATGCCTAGGCATAGTCAGCCCCCATCCTAACGTGCTACAGAGTTGCTGCCTTAGACTAGGTATCAGGACCCTAAATTCTCCTTCCAGCAAGAATTAGTTCTGTTGCATGAACTTGCATAAGTCTCTTCCCTTTTCTGGGCCCCTTCTCCCTCTGAAAATGAAGGCATCTGCTTAGCTAAGAGCTGTAGGACATTCAGACTGAGTTGGGGAAGGTGGCTGCAGGTGGGTTAGACTTTGAAGGGTAAGCAGGATTTAGGTGAGTGGAGAAGAAAGTGTGGATAGTGGAATACTCTGAGTAAAAACTGAGCTTGGTCAAGGGTACCTGACCAAGTATGGAGAGTGGAATAATCCCCAGTATTAGAAAAGACAGTTAAATACATAGATTGTTTCCTTGGGGCTGGGAGATCAGAGAAAGCAAGGATTTGTCTTACCATCATTAAGCCCTACTGCAAAGCCCAGCATTAGGTCACCATTTACTCATTTGCTTAATAAGCATAGGACTATTGTGAAGATTAAAGAATTAAGATTTAGGGGCTTAGAACAGAAATTGGCAAAGCATGAGCCAATGAGAGTTTGCTATCATCATCATCATTGTCTTATTATAGGCATGGCATCCGTCAAATGAAAGGGTCAGATTAAACAGCCTAAGGGTCCTTATGTGGTCTTTAGTCAGTCCTATTTGTTGACTGGCTTTGTGTCTGTATCCAGGATTTAAATAAGAATAACTTGTTGGAATGTAATTGGAATGCAACTATATTTGTTTCCCACTTTCCTATTAAATTTATTCAGTGGAAGAATTTTCTCTTGTCTCCGGATGAAAACCTGGGCAGTCCCATGACTTATCTGGGTTGTTCTCAGGTGCTAATTTCTATTCACTTTAAGTTAGTACATAGAAATGTTTAGTTCATAATCAACACTTAGATCTTCATCTAGGGGTAGGAATTGTCCCCTTCCAGCAAGGGGTGGTTGCAAATGGGCTGCCTGCTTGCCCAGAAGTGGCAGTTGGGGAAGGTGAAGTAGAAAGGGATGGGGTTTAACCTTTCTTTCCCCTCCCTTGCTAGCTGCTGTTACTGAGTGTGGGCAGAAGAGGAGAAAGGGGGCCCAAAAGTTCTTGACTACACTATAAGGTAACAATGTGTTCTCTGGGCCTCCAGATCTTCAAAGTCTCCCTCCGTGGCACTTTCATGGATTCTTCGGAGTTTTCCCTTTAAGGCCCCTCTGGCAGCTTCTGTACTTTCCCTACCTTATCACCTGTCCATACTTTTCTGCCCATGCACTCGACATAGGTTTCTCTGTAGGAGTTCCTTCACTCTTCTAGTTTGGGGAGTGAGGGGCTGGAGAGAGAGATGGAGAAAACCAGCTCCAGCCTTGAACACCCTTGGCCCCTATACCCTTGGAGTGCAGGCCAGCCTCAATGCAGCCACTTGTTTTCCTTCTATCCTGGATGGAATGTCCAGTCAGCCACAATCTGGCCACTAGATTTCTCCAGTGGGCACATCCCCCAAGAGCTGGGACATACCAAGCTCTTTGTGTCTTGAAGCTTTTTTCACAGATCTTGTTGAAGTGAGCCTCCCTGTCTAGGGGCAGGGCTTGCAGCAATCTAAAAGTTCTGCCCCAAAGAGGAGGTGGGGAATGGATGAAAGTAGGTGAAGGGGTTAGATAAAGAACATATATGCATAACCCATAGACACAGACAAGAGTGCGGTGATGGCCAGAAGGAAGGGGGGGTGGGTGGTGGGTGGAGAGGGACAAAAGAGGGGAAATGGGAACATCTGTAATAGCATCAACAATCAAAATAAAGAAAAAAATTCCATAAAGATAAAAATAAATAAAAGTCCTCCCCAACCCCCCTCTCCATCCCCAAACAGATTCTTGCTGTGGGTGAGGGGCTCAAGAGTCACTTTTCAACCATTTGCTTGAAAAAATGGCATGTGGTCTGGTCTGGCCCCTTTTGGAATGGAGAACCTATTTATCGTATCTTTGTACCTCAGCCCAAACTTCAGTGTTAGCATCATGTGTGTTTTTCTCTGGGTTCTTCCCTTGAGAAGCAAAAGCACCAACTGGCCACCAAGAGCTGGGGGTGTGGGGATTAGGTCACTCTGGGCCTTCCACCAAGAAGTCCCCTGCTCTTCTGCTTCCTTGTGAGCAGTGGGTACCTCTCTTTAAGGTGGTGGGCTTGGGCTGGGTGGTAGGTGAGGAATGAGACCTTTGTGTGGGACTTGGGGGCAGGGAAAAGGAGACTTAATTCTCCATAAGGCCTCTGTCTGAAATCCAAGATCAATGAATTCATGGTCAGGGAAGCAGATTGGCCTGAGGCTGGAGAGAAATAGGAATAGCCAAGAAGCCCAGTTAAGAAATGGGGCTGGCCCAAGAGCCAGAGATATGATTAAAAGGACAAAGTGCTCTCTGTGCCTGTGAAGAAAGTAAGGCAAGGTTCTCAGGGAAGGTGCCAGGTCTGATATTAGAGGAAGAATTGGGAAGGGACATTATCTTCCATGTGGAAACATCTGGATTGGGAAAAAGACCACAACACAAACCAGAAATATACAGGAAGATCACGATCAGGTTTCTGTCTCTGGGAGAGAGTCTTGGCATCCATATGGGAGTGTTGGGGGTGAAATGAGGAAAGTAGAATGTGTTGTTACTGCTCGGGGTTGTGGAAAGGTTTGCAGGGCAGGAGACAGAAATGATACCCCTGGACAATGACAGGAGTGCCCCTCCGTTGATATCCTTCCAGAGTCCATTAGGCGAGATGCCATTCCCTGTTCATCATGCCAGCTTGGCATCTTCCTGTCCACTGTGACAGGCCACAGGCAGGCTCCCTCCACCAGCATCCATCTTCTGAGTATGATGTCCTCTCCAGGAAGCCAGCCCAGACTGAGAGGAAATCCTAGGGTTCACAAGTCCCTGCATGACTCCCACCCTTTACTGGGCCTCCCCAGGTGACCTCTGCTGTCATGCTCAGGTCCTAGCCTCACTGAGGCAAAGGTCCTCTGGTCCCCATTTTCCTCCTGTCATCTGGCTTTCTAGCCTTCCCTCATCAAACATTTGTCTTGGGCAGGTCTTGGTCTAAGAGGCTGGAGCCTCATACGGAGCAGAACAGTCCAGGTGCCATGTCCATGTCACACAACTGCCACCAATCTGTGCAGACCCCAGACCACAATGTCCAGACAATGGGTACGGCCTGCTAGACTGAGATACCAGGTGAAACACTTGGAAGGGCCTTTTGCACATCAATCAACTATCTCCCAGCAGCTGCTGTTATATGGGTTCCAAATAAATCCCATACTAGAACTAAGTCCCCAAAATTCAACTGTCAACTTGGCCATTGGGCTGAGCTTGGCTGATGGGGTCAGGCCTAGACCCTGACAAACACTGGAGCTCCTAACAGGAATCAAGTCTCAAGAGCTCAAGCCCAGGCCCTAAGAGCAGAGGGCCTGTCCCTTTCAGTTCCTTCCTCCAGATCCTAGGTCCTGACTGAGAAATGTGCCAAAGGGCTGCCCTGGTGCTGTAACAATGGCCATTTATTGGGAACAGAAATAGGACAGAGTTGGAAGGCACACATTTCACAGGGAGACTTGACACAAAACCGGGGTTTGAAAACTCAAAGTTGACAATGGCTATCTTAGCACCTCAGAGGAGCAGCAGTGAGAAGGGTCCAATGAGTGGTTACAAGGGGAAGAACATCCATCTCTGAGTCCCACATACCTGGCTTTGAATCTCAGCTACTGACCCTGACCTTGGCCAAGTCATTTAATCTTTTCAAGTTTCAGATTCCCCCTAATAACATGGGGTTACCTACTTCAGAGTTGTGGTGGTTGTTTTTTTTAAAAAACTTTTTATTGAAATACAACACAGACAAGTGCACAAATCATAGGACACAGCTCCAATTTTCACCAATGGAACACACACAGGGTTATTTTGGGAAGTGAATAAGATGCATGAAAGCTCATGGGACAACTGCACAAATGTCTTTGTGTTAAGGTTGAGGAAAACTGTCATCCACTGGCTTCCCACCACTTTCTACCCTGAATTTCTCTGCTGGGTGCCCAGTCACCCAAATGCAGTTGGGAGAAAACATTTGGAGATCTTTCTGGAGAAAGGAGAAAGTACAGCACTGCAGAGGGCTGGGGTAGGGAGGAGCCCTCAGAACTGGTAGGGGAGTCGACCCAGCAGGCTGGAAGAAGTTAGGGTAGGTTAGGCCTCACTGCAACTGTTTTGGAAGATTTATCCCTGTGCTATCCCTGTTCACCTGCCGCCTATGCAGACCCTAATGTGCTTTGGGACTCTGGCCATAACGCCTCAGAGGTGGGCTCCTCTCCAGTCCTTCTGCTGGTCCTTCCTCCTGATCTCCACCCCTGTGAGTCCTCCCCACCTGCTCACCCCTCTGGCTCTGAAAGGTCATCTTATCTCATCTGTGTATCCAATGAGCTCTATATCCTGAGCTGCCTTCTGCCACCAGAGTTTATTATTGCCTAGTTACACACTGGAGATGCTAGAATCACCTTTGTTTCCTTCCTTCCAGAACCCCACTCAGACTTCCTGGTCTCTTCTGTTTTTCTTCTATTTTTAGCTTCTCCCCTCCCAGTCCTCCCATGGACTCCCTCTGGGATCACTCTTCAGAGATCAGAGACCTTGCTTCTCATCTGCTAGCTAACACCTTTTCATGCTGTCAAGGTGCTCTTCCTTAAAACAGTTTTCATCATGTCATTCTTCCTACTCACTGTCACTGGATCTTCATTATAAGAAGGTGTAAACTCCTCAGCACAGCATTTAAGGTATCCCACAACCAGAGCCCAGC